GGTTTTATAAAGCTGAATTTTTTTTTGGCGTACGCCATTTCCGTCTTTTGGCCGTACGTTCACTTTTAGTATGGTTTCCAYGCAATCCTTTATAAATGAGACCCCTGGTGAGTTAATTATCTGCTGTGCGCAACGTTCGCTTGCTTTTTAGTAAATAAATCACAGCCATTTTCTTTTATTTTATCTTTATTCACCCGTCGAGGACATGCTCCTCCCACACCTCGCTGCAGCTGCTTCTCGTTCTGGTCTGAACACTAGTCCGTTCTTCGGTCTGAACATGGTGCGTCCAACAAGAGACGTTTTGCGCTTTTTGGCCGCTCAAAACGTGTTCGGTGTGAACRTAGCATAACACCAAGCCACGCTTAATCAGGGCGACTCATTCCAGCTGTAAATCATTTAGAATTAATGCATGTTCACTGTTTGTACCTAATTAGTAGGCCTCTGCAGACCTTGATGGCAAACTGAGRAGGCCTAATAATGAAGCACTCCATAGGTTCAGCACTGTTGAACCAGGGCAGCACCTAAAACTTGCAGGACACCGGCCCTTGAGGACTGACTATGGACACTGGATCATGTGAAGAGATGAAGCAAAACACTGACAGAATGCTCAAATAATTTTTAAAGTAAAAAATTTTTGCTCCATTGAATCTATTTCTAAGTTATTTGAAATTAACAAATTGAACAGATCACTTTGCTTTAAAATTATTGCAGCTGTATATTTAGGAAATGACGATACAGATCAGCGGGGTGGGGGTGGTGGTGGACTCTCTCCGGCAGCCGGAGGGGAAGATCTTGCAGAACTGAGCGCTGGAAGGAGAAGGAGGAGCGTGTATGGTGGCAAAATACTGCCAGAACTCTCGCAAGAAAAAACGAGATCTCGCACACACAAATTTAGATCCTGTGCGCACCTTCAAGTATCCGTGCAAGAGGGGATTGAGTTCCRCGAGCGAACATCTGCTCGCGCGTGCGCGCATTATCTCCCCTCGTGCACAGAATCTCTCTGCGYGCGCATGCGAGCAGAGAGATTCTGTGCACGAGGGGAGATAGTTTAGTTTTTCTCATTTTGTCATGGATCCGATGCCATAAGCGCGAGTTGGGCTACAGTGCGCATGCGCATGTGTTTTGGGGGCAGGCGGGGGCTGAAGTAGGCACAAAGAAGCTGAGGTTAAGTTTTTTTTTACAGTTAATCTGATGAATAAATACAATAAATACAGCGGGTAAAATAAGTATTGAACACGTCACCATTTTTCTCAGTAAATATATTACTAGAGGTGCCAATGAC